CCCAAATCAAAGCATGAGACGCAAGGAAGAGAGACAAAATGGCACACATCAAAGAAGGTCACCACATCGTTCTTGCGTCCCTCGCCCGTGCGGCCGCGGTGGCCATCAACTGCTCCGGATCGGCAGCCTCTGGCGGTCGCTCTTGGAAGGACGTCACCCTCCCCCTGGCGCGCCACGGCGGGCTCTTCCTGCCGCTCATCGTGCTCGCCTCCACCCTCGCCGTGGCGCTCCTCCTCCCCAACTTCCACGCCGTGCAGCCCCTCACCGCAGCCGCGCTCCGGGACACAAACAGATAACATATGTAGGCTGACTTGAGCAAAGAAGATCACAAGATGAAAAAATTAATCATCATCACAATAAAATAACTCTTTCTCCTCAATCTGCATAGCAGAGCATGATGACGCCCAAATAGTTACATAATTTGCCTCCTTTCCATATACCTAGATAATTAGATTTCCTTGAAGGAAGAGTCTGTAAGAAAGGAATATGTAGAAATTAGAAAACCAACATAAAGCAAACTGACATTCATCTATCCTTACCAATTGAGGTGCATTAGTGAGAAAACCGAAACTTCTTACCATGTTGCTTGCGCAAGTAGCAGGCTTCCTAGGTTTGAATCACTCGAAGAGATGAATGGCCAAATCGCTGCAGCTGCTCTGTTCTGCTGATTGTGCGGGAGGACGAAGTGGTGAAGACACAGATGTGGGGACGGATTGCATCACCAATTCGATAGCCAAAACGACTAATAAATTCCATCTTTATAAACAACAATACGGGTTTGCACACTTGTAACCTTCGGCCAGTGTGTTGCAACAGGAGAAAAAATAGTTCTTCTCATGTCCCTGCCTCGGTAAATAGATTTCAAATAATGCCTTAATATTCAATCTTGCATATCAAAATAGGGAGAAAAGGTAGTTCCTACCTCCCAGCTGGTAGGGTTGTCAGCACGGACTCCACAAACTTTTCGGGTTCGATTCCAACTTCTAACTGCGCAACTAGCTGAGCATGATCGACATGTCCATTCATTGAATCATCCTCGCCATAGCGAGTTCGTATGGGCATTCCTTAGAGAACCCAACCTGCTAGTCGTCTTCACTCTTCTCATTCAATTCTTGAATTTCTCATGCCGTGTAATACTCATCAGGCCTAAAAAAATATGACGAAAGATGTAGGATTCAGAGTATAGATCTTTAGAAAGATAACTTTTCTTTCAAAACAAAAGCCACATGTGAACCAAACTCTTCTTTCACAACAAAAGCCATCTGAACCAAGTCTGATGCCCACTAAAAAAACACTATGTTTAATGCATGCAACTCTAAGTGGAACTTATGCAGATAAACGAAGCAACATGATGATAGAAATCTGGAGATGGCACTAATTGATCTAGTGGGTCTCATCTGTAGTTTGTAGGTAAATAAGCGGACCCAAGTGAACTTGATGTCCTAGATAGTTTGTACAAATGCTCATATTGCACTGCTCCTTTGAACCAGGCCGAAATACATATCGCGAATTCATGCGGCTGTACCACTCACATAACATGTGGAATTTAGATGGGCAGAAAAACATCGTATAGGCACTTGCAATCGAGATTCCGTAAACCGTGAACCACGCAGCTGCTGCGTTGTCATTAGTTACCAAATGGCAGAGGAGAGTAGAGGTAGCAGCAATAATCTGGACTCTAAAATACTCTAGCCACAACACTGCCCCCGCACCTTGCTCATCTTATTACTCATTACAACCATCTGGATTCATTTGTCCTAACAACTAAGCAAGCATTGGAATCGGATCAGATGTAATGGAAAACGAAATGCTTAACCATGCATTAGATTCAGTCATAAAAACTTGTTCTTTCTGTCTTTCTTAATATATGGGCGTGTAGGTCTCCTGCGTATTTCCAAAAAGAATTTAGATTCAGTCAGACGCAGAACATGAAAAAGATAAGAGTTGCAAGAATCACAATACCTGGGACTCAATAGTTTCTTCACAAAAGTACCCATCAAACCAAGATTTAATATACCATCAAGAATGCCTGCCATAATTTCCTCAATCATCAAGAATTCCTGCCAATGCCCTGTTATACCATCAAGAGATTTAATAGAGCTATCTTGAGATCAGGGGATGGAGTTTGGAGCCACTGCTCGCTGAAGGTTTATGGTATTATCGGACATTCAGTCATCTCAAGCACATAACCTACTTGTGCGGGGCAGTCCGCGCCTCCGGTCCATAATGTGATGCAGCAGACATCACCAAACGATCTCCAGGGATGATGGAGTGATGGTAGCTTGCCTAGTTCAGTAGCCCCCTGTTGTCGGTCTCCGACCACCCTCATTCCTTTACAGATGTCGTCATCCGGCCACCGACGACGGCTGACCGTTGCTGCTGAACTTGGCCTCCAATGCTTCCTCTAGCCGCCTCCTTTATTTTGGAATATCTGCAGCATAGAGACCAACATGATCGTTTACCCCATGTAAACTACAATTTGGAAGAATGCATATGTGTACACAATTATTTCCATTGTATACATGGAAGTAGCGATGCATTGACTATTGTACCTGATTAAAAAAGTAATGAGTAACAGCTCAAATAAGAAATCAAGAACATTGAACCTGATATTCAATAATGGGCAATGCACATGATTAACTTGTGCTACTTGCGCTCCATCAACAGTGTAATATCATTCTCACCTTCAACAATTACCGGAACACAAACAAATCAAACCTGACCCTAAATCTGCCTCTGTAGCCAATAGGAAGAAGCATCATCACTCACCTCGCCAGCGTCTGCAGCACTTGAGATCCTCTACGCATCTCTTGTCCACCGACGCCGCCCGTGCACGCTCACATCCCCGTGTTGACCACCATGGTTGAGCCTGCAGCAGTAGGGGTGGGGGCGGAACAGGGAGTGAGGAGGGAGATGGCGAGGGGAAAGATGGAGAAGAGGGGAGTATGGAGCGCCGGCGGGCATGTCATCCACCACAGTTGGGCCTGGGGGAGTAGAGGTGGGGGGAGAAGATGGAGAAGAGTGGCGGACGGAGCTCCGGCGGGCAGGCCGGAGGGGTGGCGGCTCCAACCCTAGCTTGTTCGTGTGTGGGTCAAAGAAGGAGATGGGTGAGAGGAGTAAACAGCGAAACATTTTTTTACAACACGGGCCGATGATAGCGAGGGAGTCAGACCAGCGACAGCGAAGCAGACAGGGCAAGCGGCCCACACGTGAACGGATAAAATTCTGGAATTAAACGTTTTTGGATGAAATAGTACCACCTCGGATGTAGAAAATAATATAGGTGAAAAAACTGAAAGCATAAATTCACGAGGAGAAGCGTATTGTGACGGTGAACCCACGGAGTCAATCCGTGCCTTATTATTAGGGATTAGGCATTAGGGATAGATAGATATACTAGCAAAAATGCCCGTGTGTTGCAACGGGAGAAAAATATATACTAAAAGAACACAACATGCAAGGCACAAAAATTAGGCTTGAAGGCATACATATTCTTATGTTAAACGTGTACCAAATCCTCATGCACATCAGACAACATTGTTGACTTATTTTTTGCCATTAAATCATATTTCTTCTTCTTTCATCGTCCCAGCTCACGAATTGCAGTTTACTTGGTCGACGGTAAAATTAATTGAAATCTCTATATTTTTGCTGGCCCTTGATCAATAATATGGTCAATTGCAGGAAGCAATGTCTGTGGCCAACAGATCATCTGCCCCTTTCTCTTGTTTTGATGCAGATGGTGGGACATAGCTATCAGGAAAGGGTATTTGCAAAACAAAACTATCCGAAAAGGGTGAAGGGGAGGGTCAGAAGGCAGCTGCTAAGAAATATGTCAGATGTTTGAGGATGTCAAAAAAAAGTTAGATGTTTGAGGGTTAATAGCAAATGGTTGATAAGGCAGTTTGATGAACAGACTTCTAGTACAATACAGCAGCAGAACTTGAGAAAAATTGTTAGTCCCGTTCTTGGGACTAAGGAGTGGTCAGTACATCTGATGTGCCCCATAAGTTCTTCTATCTAAAGTAGGAATGTTTTGCTATAAAAAAAGTACACTGCCCCTGTTGCAACATGCAAAGACAAATGAGGATGTGATCAACTCATCTCAACTCCTCCAAGTATGTTGTTGCCTTATGTGACATTGATTCAGGAGCTGTCCCATCAGACGATGTTCCCTCTGTAAAAAACACAAACAGAAATTCCAGTTATGCTAATACTTCTGTTTTGCAAATTGCAGTAAATAAAAAAATGTGAAATAAACAGAAACAACAGAAATTGTGAAGTACAACAACAGCAAGCCACCAATTTCCCACAAGTGATCTTGCATGACCAATGCGAACTATCCTTATTACAGATTATTAGAATGTCGAGGTAAGGAGTAATTTAACCACCAAATTGTACTACAGTACTAAGTTTTATTTTGTTCCAAACAGTGTGTCAATTCACATAGACTCAAGCTTAATGTGGTAACTTCCAATCGACAAACAAAACAGATATCTTTGAACAGTTAAGTAAGCATATAAATTCCAATATCATACAAAGAGAAGTAAATATAAGAAAACCTGTCAGCAAAAAAACCATGGAACTATATTCACATTCATGCTTGAATCTTTAATCTCAGAAAACCGTAAAATTGCCTACATGTAATTTTGTACCCGCAGACCCATAATTTTCCAAAATTTGACCTACATCTCAAATCTTGTTTGCAATCCTAATGAACGTGTGCCACACACTTAGTGCTCACATCACTTGGCAGACCATCCTGTTGGGTAGCAGGATTTCTGACATTAGTAGGTTTTGGAGAATATCATTGCCATTTAATCAAGGCTAGAAGCTGAAGCTTGACTGAAGAACATAGCAGAAATGAACTTGACTAAGTAAATAGATCAACAACTCGTTTGCTGGTAAGTACCCAGATTTTGATATTGACAAAATCTAAACCCCAAGACCAGTGATACTGACAGCAGAGCAAGAAACCTTTAGGGAGAAAGGTAAATTGGCTATTTGAAACGCCGTTGCGGATGTGATGTTTCCTGTTCCCCTGCTCCAGCATCACCAGATCCACGCATCCCCAAACAGAATGCCGCTGCTGGCTCTCCCGCCTTGCGGCCTCCCCTCCTGAACAACATAAAGTCAAATAAAGTAACTCAATCACTGAAAGTTCTTTCTCATACATGAGTATCAAAGGTGTCATGAATGAAGTTGTTGAGAATGATAACAATGTACTACTCAATCATAACTGCTTCAGTAAAAGGAAAATAGCATAATCTCTTGGTGTACAGAATGGAATATATATGCAGCTCTGATTGCCATGGTTCAATCACTCCAACACACAAAAAATGGTGTGGATGTCATCTCCGGCAGCAAGGTTTTTTGTTCTTCTCCCTTCTGACCATCTCATTCCCTCTATAATGACTCAGGGGAGCAAACTCACCAGGAGCTCGTGGTGTCAAAAATCAAGCACAAGACACACCCCGAGACCTCATCAGACTGCAGCATCAACGATCTAACCATCAGTCAATCACAGTGTAGCAAAGGCGGAAACACGCCACATTAGCGCGCAGACTGATTCCGATTTTGATGCGATTCACATCCAATGATAGTGCTACAACGCCGTCCTGCACGGCCGAACGAGCATGAGCTGCTTGAGGGGTTCCGGGAGCGCGGCAACGAGCACCTTCCCGTGTCCCCGCCGACGCCGGCGCCAACGGCGCGCCACGAGCACCGTGTGCTGTAGGTGACCTGAAAGTTCCGGCTCGGGGCATCGGATACGGCTGGAATAAAGAGCCGTTGCAGCTCCTCCAGTTGGTAGTCTCACGATGATGGCAACCACCCGGTTAAATTGAAACTGCTGGCAGTACACCTGTGATCCTCCGCTGCATCAAGTATCAACCATCATGAGATTGATTCCTTATTTGGTCTGAAAAGAGTGATTATATTCGCTGTAGTTGTTCTGATAACCTCTTAATATTTCAGTCTAAGGTATACGCCGAAACTGGTGGACAAGATTGAGAAGCTTGGTGGAGCGCACCATGTTTTGACCCACATGTATGTTCAGACTTACACAGTTCTATATGTATCTATTGATTGTGCATTTGTGGACCTTTCTATAAGGAGATTGAAGAGTATCTAACCAGTTACCAAACAGTGATGATGTAGTGGATCATCGGAAGTGGGCCGAGCGGCCGAAATGCAAAGAGAAACATCCATTCAGGAGATGTAAGAACACCTGTAGAAAGGAACTTACTGGAATATCTAAAGAGCGCTCACACATCATGTTTTGAAGGATATTAGAAATCTATTAGAATTCAGAGATTCTAAAGTTGTAATTTGCTTATGATATTTGCCCTGATTATCTTCTGCGATAACCATGCTGATACAGGTAGTGGACATTACTGCTGATGTCGAGTGGAAACTTACTGGAAGTGGTCCCTGGAACATTGAAAATGGAACTTACTATACCCCAGGGCATACCGAAGTAAGAAACTCAACTCAATGAATAGAATTACGTTGAATATACGTCTAGCCTTTGGTTACGGATAAGTTTATGGATTAAAGAGGAGCTGGGCTTAGAGATAAGTGCACTACAGCTAGCTGGCTGCACTATTAAGGTTAAAAATATATATGTTATTCTTTGGAAAGGCAAGATGGTTGCACTATTCTTAAACTTCAGAGAACAAAGCTTGTATGTTGTTCGTTGGAAAGGGGATGGTAATGACGTCACTAAAAGATTCACTCATGAAAACAAAATCATTTTATGTAGAGCTTGGTCTGTTTGTTGTACAAATCGCTAAAGGCGCTATTCACACTGGCGACCATGTGGCAAATCAGAATATTCAGAGCAACTGAATCTCTTTCGGATGTACATCAAGCAATCAGGTAGTACAATCCACCCTCTTCTCCCTAGTCTTTCAATTGTACCATAGAGTTAAACCTAAATCCTAGTTGATCTATATATATATGTATATCTGTCGCACAAACTTGCAGTGAATCTGCAACTGGATAGTTACTGGACCTAGATTTTAAGTGGTATTTACCTGGTAAGCATCCCTTCCAAGTACCGTATACATAATATATATTACCGAAATTCTGTTTGACACCTGGATTTGCAAGCCATCTCGTAAGATCTTCGGTTCAATTGCTTCTTGTTAACTGCACTAATTTGTGAGCTGTCTCTCTCCAGGGCATGGCTATCGAATCCTATATGAAGATGTACAGGCAAAAAAATGCAGCAATTGAGTCTCTGCTAGCTAACTACAAAAACTAAGATTCCAGTGGATAGTATGAGGAAGATGCAGAAGAAAGAGACAGGGAGAGGTTCCATTGGGTTGTCGGCCTTTTTTAGATCGTTACCTGTGGAGGTCATGGCCTCGGCGGAGCTCTGTCTGGGCTTATAGGGCGCAGATGCGGGGCGCCATCTCCGCCACACACAGCCAGGCTCTCCACCTGTGCTCCAGATTGGAAGGATGGATATGGAGAGGCGACCATAAGCCACGGCCTGAAACCTGAACCGGAGGAGGAGGAGCGCAGGATCGAGAGGGAGAGGCAGCCCACAGCCATTGTGTGAAACCAGAAGTGATGGAGGAGCCCGTCGAGAGATGATGACCTCGGCTTGGCAATCTCGTTGATCTCGAGGACGTGGGACTCCGGAGGCGGGTGGCGAGCCCTCCATAGCAACGACCGCGGCCACCTCCAGCATCGCGAGATCCAGGGCGACTTGGGAAGGGAGAGGAGCAGCATGCTGGATCCGACGTGCGCTGATTCTGACGCTACCCCGCCTCCTGCGCGTCCTCCTCCTCCTCCCGGTCGTTGCCCATGGCAGCGAGAAGCGTGCTGAGCAGCCCGTCGCCGTCGGCGGCGCGGGCCCGGAGCGGGCTGGCCTGGGCCTCGGCGTCGGCGAACGGCGCGCGGAGGACTCGGACGGCGCGAGGAGGAGGGCACGGCGGAGAGGAGGCAGGCCGCGGTGCGGGGAGGACGGCACGGCGGTGGATGGCGTGGCGGAGGACGCCGGCCGGTGGCGTGGAGGCGGCGGATCCAGATGGGGTGGGAGGCGTGGTCGCTCGTATTTTCTGGCAGAAATACGAAACGTTTTTCTAACTTATTTACTGGACTCCGGGTTAATTTCTCAGAAACAGGGAGGATTGTTAGTAAGTAGAGAGGTAGATATACGAATATTCGTAGGAGAGGACGAGCTCGCCTGCTCACTTTATCTCCGTGCGCTCGTTTGTATCGGGATCCCAGCACATGGTTGTATGGACAGTAATTAGGCTCCAGGAAAATACCGTGTTGACCCCACAGCGCACGGCCGTGCCGTTTGGTCGGGATGACGGACGGCGCCAAATCACATCCAGTACCCACCGCACAGGAAAGGTCCGCCGTCATGTGCCGTACAGTACCGTCTGCCACTGGCCACGGCCACTCCGACCGAACAGAAGATTGTCGAGCTGTGCACCAAGAGGCTGCTGCTATGATTAAAAACTTGATGCACCGATTTGACAAGATTTCGTTAGGTACATTATGTGCAGGCAAGAATTCATCACACAACCTTGCTACAAAATAGCTAAAGCATGGCAATCCGAGACATAACTTAATACAGATGCAGCAAAATTATTCGGTCATCTTAATATAGCCATAACATAACCTGCAAAAAAAAATATATACAAACATAACATGCTAACAACAAATCCAGCAGCTCCCATGATCTGCAATGATCTCTTTTGAACTGTGAAACTGATCATACGTGAGAAAAATAACAAATTTTTGTGCTCTGAATCTTGTAACATTGCATGCTCATAAACATGAACAAACTACTCCCTCCGTTCCTAAATATAAGTTTTTTTAGTGGTTTCAAATGAACTACAACATACAGATGTATATAGACATATTTTAGAATGTAGATTCACTAATTTTGCTTCGTATGTAGTCCCTTATTGAAATCTCTAAAAAGACTTATATTTAGAAATGGAGGGAGTAGTAGATATATTTTCACAACTAGGAAATTAGAGCAAAAAAGACAAGAGCGTTTCCTCCAAAGAAATTGTAATTTGCCTAATGATAATGATTTTATTGAAAACATGTAGACTATGTTGACGAGCCTGGCACACACAACATCTAATTAGAAAAATCTTCTATACAAACAGATCACTTGGCTTTGACTAGAATAGTTCTATACTGGCTGGCTGGTTGGACCAGCATGCCCATCAGTCAAAACTCAAAACCATTCAAGCAAAATTGACATGTATTCTGTCTGGAGTAGCAATGTGAAATATGATAAAGCTATGTCAGGGGAATTAGGAAGAACGTAAAAAAAGGAAAAGCAGGAACAAAAAATTAAATCCTTTTTACTGTCTTTCTTTGAGCAGTGAGAAATGACCAAAAAGTATGTTTTTTAGCACAGAAGAACCATCATATGAACAAATAATGTATATATGAGCAGTATTTTTTGCTTAATCTTTTTTTTTTCAATGCGGGTTTCAATGGAAACAAAGTCATTTGTTGTAATACACTCGCGACACCGATTGCCAGTGATTGGCTTCTTTTCCCGCTGACACGTGCTTACGTATAATGTATACAGGTTTAGGAAAAATCCTAACTTACAAGACAAAATCGAATTGTAAAATTGGACGTACCACTAGTAGCTCACATTGTAAATCAGCAGCCTTATCACTGCCAGGCACTCACATCGCAAGATCGAGTACTTCTTCGGCTTCCCCTGCCAAAAATATAAAAGAGTCCACATGAAACACGCCAACTATGTCGGCCTACCAGGAACGATGTCTAGAAGACGAACATGACACTCACACCAATTTCAAAGCGCGACCCCATTATGTTCGCGTCTGTCCGTTTAGTCCCAAAAGGACAGACCGCATGGCCCAATGCGCGACCCCATCATTACTTTTTGTCTATTTCACGTCTGGTCCGCTTCATTTCCTGCTCAAACATCCACCGGCTTTGCGTCCACACGGACGACGAACGGACGCCGACGCGCTCGCTCAGCGTTCGCTTCGAGCCCGCGTGGCAGCTGCGCACCTACCATCCACCACACACATTTACCGCGCACATGCGGGCAATCCTACTTGGCAGCCATCCCGGTCGAGCAGTCGTCGTCTTTTTTAATGTGAAGGTCGTGGACCGATGGAGTCCACACTTCCACTTCCCCGGTGATGCGTGCCTCCTCGTAGCCCGACAGCCAAACCCTAGCCCACCGCTCCTCTACCTCCCCACCAGCGACAATGGTGGGCCGCTGGTTTCCCGGCCGCAAGACGAGGCACGACCACAAGGCCAGGTCCTTGTCTGGCGGCGTCGCCGCTTCCCCACTCCACCTCCGGCCTGGCAGGGGCCGCCATCCCACCTCTGGCAGCCACCTTCATACGTCGACCTCACCGGCGACGACGATGATGAGTAGACGGCGGCTACGGAAGGCGACGAAAGCCCTTATCTAGTTTCTTTTTACATGTTTTTGTTTATATTAATGTGCGGAACTTGGATAATGGGACGTTTTAATGTTTATATTAATGTTTTCGAGTTGTTTTCAATGTTTATTTGGTTTTTTGGGGTTTTAAATTCACGTCATAAAAACGGTCAGTTTGGGGTGCGGTCGGCCCGTTGGGCGCACCGCAGGCCCTTATTTTTTTTTAATGTTTTTGTTTATATTAATGTGCTGAAGTTGGGTAATGTGGATGTTTTAATGTTTTCGAGTTATTTTTGATGTTTATTTGGGTTTTTTGGGGGTTTAAATTCACGTATGAAAAAACGGATAGTTTGGGGTGCGATTGGCCCATTGGGCACACCGCAGGCCCTTATCTAGTTTGTTTTTAATATTTTTGTTTATATTAATGTGCTGAATTTGGGTAATGCGGACGTTTTAATGTTTTTGAGTTATTTTCAATGTTTATTTGGGTTTTGGGGGTTTAAATTCACGTATAAAAAAACGGATAGTTTAGGGTGCGGTCGGCTCGTTGGGCGCACCGACGACCGCTCAACCGTAAGTGGACGACGATGTCCGTTTTCCTGCCAAAACGGACGAAAAACGAACGAAACGGACGTCCGTTTGGGTCGTGCGTTGGAGTTGGCCTCACTCAGCAAACACATATCACTTTCTGCATTTATTTCCTCCTCTCCGTATAGCCTGCTCTTCCCGTACCTGATGCCGGATCCAAGCACCCACGAGCACAGGTTGTAGAAATCGTGCAGCATCCTCTGAATGTTCTGCCAGTGCAGGGGGTTCGATCTGGGGGTGCTCTGCCACTCGGAATCTGCACTCACAACAGTTCAATGTATGTTCAGAAAATTGACGTTAGCTGCATCAGAAATTCAGAAAGTACGAGCCGCAGCTTCCTTCGCACACGCGTCCACCGAGCAGCTGTCATCCGTCGGGGCCCCTGTTTCTTCATCGCCACCATTGCCGCGCACACGGCCGCCTCACCGCAATCGCCGTCAATCGACGGCACTGGGAACCTGCTCACCAACAATAACCTATCAACCCACGAAGCCAATCTGAGCATACAGCCTAGGCCAGTGGGAAATCAAGTCGAAAATCTTACCTATCGACCCGATCTGATAGGAACTCGAAGCCTCCCGTCATCCTGCCCGCTGACTTCATTTGCTGGAATTTTTCCTGGGCGTCGTCTCTGTTCGAGTCCACGCAGGAGGGCGGGGACAGCGGTGCCTACAACCCCATCCTCGCAAGCGGACGGCCGGCACCGTTGCCTGTTGACTGTTCGGAGTTCGCCGCCGACAATCTGATGTTCCCGCAAACGCCGTTCAGGTCTACTCGGAGCCTGGCCGTCGGTCGCCCAACTCACCAATGTTGAACTGGCCTACTGCATCTAGCAGACCTAGAGCGGGCTGTGCCGGTGGCGCGTAGTCACCACCTGCTAACGCCCGCACAGGGAACCTAGCCAACGGGAGAACGCTCCCTGAGATTCATGATCCACCGTCAATGGAAATCAAACGAGGGCAATAAGCATACCGATCGACTGGATCTGCTAAGAACTCGAACCCATCCCCCACCGTCTCCATCGTCAACCCTCTCAAGCCGCGCACCGAAACCGGAGGAATAGTTTCTTAGAATAGCAGGTACCCTTCTCGTTGGAGCCCAGTTGCCGCTTGCCAGTACTATATTTTCTTATTTTTTCCACCTCAAACGCCGTTTGTGAAAGCCGGTAAACGGAGCTCCGGTTATCCTGTACAGATGGGCCATCATCACCCAGTTACGTCCTCCGTCAACACGTCAGGCGGACCCATTCCTGTACATGCGGCAGTATTTCTACCATCCATAAATGCAGATGAAACGTGAGGCTGCACCATTGGTCCATATAACGGGAGTAGGCGAGCTCGTGCGCTCTTTCGCCACTCTCGGTAGATATATATATACTAGCACATATGACGATGCGTTGTAACGGGGTAATAAAGACATAGACATTATTTTATTGGCAAACTTGATGACAATACCTGTATGAATTTCATACAACTTTTACTAATATATCTTTAGCTAAATAGAAAATGCATATAACATTAACATCTTTCAATACTGCAAGGTTTGGGAAGTGACGTGCAAATTTATGTGAATGACTTTTTATGAATTGAAGTAGCTAAGGATTAATAATGGGAAATTTATAAAAAACATATCTTCTGTTCTGAGCAATCATGAATAATTTACACTGAAATTAGTTGATGTCAGATTTGCAAGTGGCCTAA